AAATGTGATGAAGAAAGGCGAAGCCGGCTAAGGGGAGGCAACATGGGAGGGTGAGTGAAAGCCTTTCAGAGGAGTTGGCTTTTGAATTATAATTAAAGTAGAGCAAAAGAGCAAGCAATGAGAATATGAGGAAAAAGACTGCCATGTTGTGAAGTTAGCAAGTGCAGAGGTCCTGGGGTGGGAACGTGCTAGGCCTAGTCAAGGAAGAGCAAGAAGGCCAGTTTATGTGATGTACTGATAGGAGGATGTGGTAGGAAGTGAGTGCGCAAAGAAAACAAGGCCGGTCACAGGTGTAAACTACGGTAAGGGTGTTAATTTTCCTAAGTCTGATGGAAAATCACTGCAAGGATCTGAGGGAAACTGGCTTGATCTGGGACAAGAGGGAAGGTCAGAGGGTTGGAGGTGGCTATGTCAAGGGGTGCCAGTGGGGGATGGGAGGTGGCCAGCTCAGGAAGTCCTGCCCGCCAGCTGCAGGCTTGGCTGATGAACTGGATGTGGGGCCTGAGAGACTGTGATTTTTTGGGGGGGTTATATTTAAAGGGCAAAAAGTTTCAGATGTCTATTAAGATATCCACTGAGATGTCATGCAGACTGTTGGAAAAACCAGTTTGGAGTTCAGGGAGGCATCAGGGGAAACACTTTGGGCTACCCCTCATGGATAGAAAAACCTTTATTCTTCCAGCGTGTATTCACTCAGCATTTATTGAGCACCTACACTGTGTGTCAGGCACCATGCTGGATCCTGGGGTGGGGAGACAGCATGGATTTGGACAGAGACTTCATTATAATCTGCTTCATTTCCTCGTTCCTGAGACACTTCTCTGGGTACTGTGAAATATAGAATCAACTCTCAAGCGTTATAAATACTGTGATGTTCTCTGACTCAGCAATCCGGGAGAGCTTAGATTTTTCGGAAAGAGCTATGTATAGACTTGGACAAAGGACAGATTTACTTCACCAGACATCTGAAGACTACCTGACAATGAATCAGAAGAGAAAGCCTCTTCCAAACTGATGTTTATGGAGAGTCAAGCTGGTGTAATGGAAAAACACACGGGGCCGGAAGGCAGCGGTTCCCACCTCAGTGTGCACCTCGGGATCAGCGCCTGGGTCTGACTGTGACCGGGCCCTCTGCCCGCCTGTGCTTCGCTCTACTCTCCAAGAGTGCAACACTGGATTCCACATCTTCCAAAGTGTTTCCAAACTGCTATTTTCTTCTTCACATGACAGTAGGTTTCTAGACTCTAAATATTATGAAGAAATAGAAACCCAACTCCCAAGGGGATCCCTCTAGTGGGCTTATTTTTCAAAGCAAAAGAAAGCTTTTTAAAAAAATTTATGCAAATGGAAAGTGCTTTTTTTTTTTTTTTGCTGATTGTAAAAATGATATAAGATCCATATCAATGAGGAAAAGTGCAGGGTAAGGAGCCTCCATGGAAGATTACAAGAGAACTGTTGGCTTTCATTGTCATGTGTCTGCACCGGACGGCAGTGCTGTAGAACGTGCTGGATGAATGAGTAAACATCATTTTTAGTCTGTAGACCAAAAAGGAGGAGAAGTAGCAGACGCAGAAGCAGAAGTGGAAGCTGCAGAAGTGGAAGAAGAAAGAGGGAAGTGAGAGGGGGAGTAGGGGAACCGAAATCCTCTTTCTAGGGGTTGTAAAGCAGAAGAGCTCAGTGAAGTCACCAGAGGCTGAAGCTGCCAGGGCAGTACCACACGGGATCTCTTAGATGACATGTTGCGAAACAACAGCTGCTGCTACCTACAGAAGGTATCAGGAAACCACTCATATGTCCCGTTTTGGTGGTATAAGTAATAAGGGCGGCTCACTGCGAGCAGTATCGAGAGGCTTCGAGCAGTCCAAGGCTCTATCAGGAGCCTCTCCCGTGCCAGTGGGAGGAGGGTGAGTTCCATCTCCTTCCTCCTACACTTGGGCCCTTCCCTCCCCCAGTCCCAGGAGGAGCTTTTCTGGAGCAAGTGAACTCAGTGCTTTTTATTGGCAATCTGGCACCCTCTGGAGGGCCAACTCCCTATTGAGTAAACTAAGAGGCTTTTCCGATTACTCTGAGAATGAACTGAGCCAGATCCTGCCTACGGATCCATGCTGCCATCCCCAAGATGGAATGAGTTGCTAACTGGGACCTTCAACATATAGATCTGAACTATCAGAGCCTCTTAGAGTGGCACTCCTGGGTCCTTATATCATGTAGCAATCAGCTGGCGTTGAGGGGCACCTGTTCTTCAGTTCATGGTAACCTCGTGTCTGGAGTCCATCAGGCCACCTTCCACTTTTTTTTTTTTTTAAATTTTTTTAAACTATTTATTTATTTATTTATTTATTTATTGTGTGTGTGTGTGGCCAGCTCAGCCCACCAGGGGGCGGGGCTGGCTGGCATGTGGTGCTGGGGGATTGAACCGCGGTCCCTGTGCTTTGTTTAGCTTAGCTTGTTTTAAGTAGGTGCTTTAGACCACTGAGCCATCTCACCAGCCCCCCACTTTTCATTTATCCGACTTCTATCTCGAATTATATAAGACATGGGGTGGGGTGCTGAGCACCAAGCACTGTGCAAATCCCTGGGAACGCAGGTCAGGTGCAACACAACTCATGGCTTGGAGAAGCTCACAGTCCAGCAGGGGGACAGAGGTGCAAACACTTACACTACAGTGTGTGTGCATGACCATGGCTAAGCAGAGGAAACAGAGATAGCTGACCCACTGTGTCCTGCCCGGACAAGTTAGGGTTGGGTTTTGAAGGATGACTAAGAGTTCACCAGGCAGATGGAGTGGTGAGGAATACTGGGAGCGGTATTGGAGGGGTATGCAAGGTCTTCTCCTGGTGATTGGCTCCTGGTGCACAGAGGAGCCAGTCCAGCCGGTAAACACCTTTCTCCCGACTGCCACTGTCTATGAGTCTCTGTATCATCCTGTTCCTCTTTCCATCAAAACAGCGGAGTTCACCTCCTCAGGGAAGAGCTTGCCTAACTGCTCACTTCCAGTTGCCTCAACAAAGGCACCCCCCCCCCCGTTTTGGGATAACTGATTACCTAACTGTGGTTCTGTTATTGGAGTGCTTTGTTTTGGAACTTCTGCTATTTGGAGAATAGACCAGCATTCTAAGCAATTAATCAGTAAGTACTAACCAAATATCTACACTGCATAGAAAATTCTTCCAGTCATATCCACCACTGGGACCCCAGCAACCAACAGGTCAAGTGAGAAAAGAGAAACACATTAAGAATAGAAAATATGGGGCCAGG